TCACTATCTTGCACTAAAGTCACGAAGTCTTACCGTCATACATTGAAGAGCCGTAGTTGAGTAAGAATCTTCCTTCGATATATCTCTTGGAGGCGGAAACTCAGTGTCCGGAAAGACGATCTTGGACAGATACGATGCTGCCGTTGCAGCATCACCAAAAGGAATAGTCAAAATCGCCCCGGCACGGTCACATCGAGGATTCGAATTGCGCCTCGATCTGCTCTGGCCATCACCATCGGTATCACCTCTCTCCTTGTCTTTGCGAGGACGCTTACGACTTGCCTCTACGCCAACATCTCTCCTCCTCGCGTCGTCGTGACGTCGCGGCGATGACTCAGATCGACGATCGACGGCAGCAGTAACATTTCGCTCTAACGCCGGGCGACGCGGCTTAGACGCAGAGGTAGTAGTCGTACCAACTCTAGGAACCGACGCCAACAACCTTGCTCGCTCTGACACCCTCGCGTTAGACTCCAGTCCGGCCTCCATGGCTCTCCTCTCGCGAGCTGATGGTTTCCTTGCGTTGTCCGACATCTCTGGTGAAGAATTCGACAAAGTATCTCCGAAGCGACGGACAAGAGCTTCTCTGACGCTGTGTAAAGAAAAGTCGTCCCTCTAGCTACACTTCTCAGCAGCTAGGTCGTCACGGAGAACAAACAAGTCTATCGGCAACTTTGCAATGCGGCTCAAAACTGCAAAACAGTAAGCAAGAAGATAAGAGGGTTAGCATTGAAAAGTGAATACTTTAACAAGCAAGATTCACAAAGAAACGGCAATGAATGTCAAATTCTAAGCTAAAAAATAGTGGCGCGTCAGGGTCGACTACCGCGAGTCCCCCATCTTTCTCGAAGCATGTCTAGATGACCGTGGCCGACGGAAGCTTCATTGATTTTCACAAAGAAAAACTTTTCCGACCAAAAACGATCTGTGTTGGAAAAATCTCTAATGACTTGGAGATTCGTTTTGGCATTAAGGAAATAGAGAAGTTTGCCCTTGGAGCCAGTCTTCCTAACCTCCAGGAGACTCAGCAAGTGATCGACTACGACTTTGCTGTCACATTCGTAGCTGCGCACCATAATCCCAACCAAGTGGCGCATGCCGAGAGGCGTGATCTGTGCAATAGCAAGATTGGTCCTCCACAAAAAATCGAGAATCGCAGTAGGAATCGGGAACCACAGGAAGCACGCGTAAAAGTAAGTTTCGTACAAAGTAAAGTAGCCCTCTGGAGGATGATCTGCTCGCGCATCTGAACAAAGAACAACTAGCTCAACCCCATCGGGAACACCAAAGCAAGCAGTAAGGGAATCCAAAGACTTCGAAGTTGACATGGTAGATCCTGGCGGGTCAGGTCCTCTCCGCTTCGACCTCTGCCTCTTGGAAGGCGGCATAACCACGATCTCATCGCTAACCTCTTCCACCACAACTAGAGCACTGGAGAAGGCCGGTTTCGCCGAACTGCCATTGTCAGACTCTGGAGAAAGAAACATTTTCCTTCCGAGCAGCAAAGGATCAGAAACCATATCTCCGGAATCATCTAAGTCGCGTGAACTGTCGAGCCGCGAGTCCATAGAGTCAGAAACCATTCTTTCCGATCCACTTCTTTGCTGTACCAAAGAGCAACGGTTTGAGTCAGTCTCACTCCACGAAGCTAGCGTTGTCACCAAGTCATCGAGCCGTCGAATCGTTGAAACACCCAAAAAAAAAAAATCGAACGAATCGACTCAGTCAACGAGTTGACTAGGCCGAGTTGACTGAGTCAACTCGCTAGCTTCAAACCACCATTCAAACCGTCGATCTCGCGTCGCCTCTCCTCGCTGGTACCCGCCTCGATCTTTCCACGACGCGTGATGTCTTGCGTCTTACCGGCGTTCACTTTCTCTCCTCGCCGAAGCTCTCTCTCTCTTCTC